TAGTCTATAGTCTAGTCTATAGTCTAGTCTATAGTCTAGTCTATAGTCTAGTCTATAGTCTAGTCTATAGTCTAGTCTATAGTCTAGTCTATAGTCTAGTCTATAGTCTAGTCTATAGTCTAATCTATAGTCTAGTCTATAGTCTAGTCTATGGTCTAGTCTATAGTCTAGTCTATAGTCTAGTCTATAATCTAGTCTATAGTCTATTCTACAGTCTAGTGTATAGTCTAGTCTATAGTCTAGTCTATAGTCTAGTCTATAGTTTAGTCTATAATCTAGTCTATAGTCTAGTCAATAGTCTAGTCCATAGTCTAGTCTATAGTCTAGTCTATAGTCTAGTCTATAGTCTGGTCTATAGTCTAGTCTCTAGTCTAGTCTATAGTCTAGTCTATAGTCTAGTCTATAGTCTAGTCTATAGTCTAGTCTATAGTCTGGTCTATAGTCTAGTCTATAGTCTAGTCTATAGTCTAGTCTATAGTCTAGTCTATAGTCTAGTCTATAGTCTAGTCTATAGTCTAGTCTATAGTCTAGTCTATAGTCTAGTCTATAGTCTAGTCTATAGTCTAGTCTATAGTTTAGTCTGTAGTCTAGTCTATAGTCTAGTCTATAGTCTAGTCTATAGTCTAGTCTATAGTTTAGTCTATAGTCTAGTCTATAGTCTAGTCTATAGTTTAGTCTATAGTCTAGTCTATAGTCTAGTCTATAGTCTAGTCTATAGTTTAGTCTATAGTCTAGTCTATAGTCTAGTCTAGTCTAGTCTATAGTCTAGTCTATAGTCTAGTCTATAGTCTAGTCTATAGTCTAGTCTATAGTCTAGTCTATAGTCTAGTCTATAGTCTAGTCTATAGTCTAGTCTATAGTCTAGTCTATAGTCTAGTCTATAGTCTAGTCTATAGTCTAGTCTATAGTCTAGTCTATAGTCTAGTCTATAGTCTAGTCTATAGTCTAGTCTATAGTCTAGTCTATAGTCTAGTCTATAGTCTAGTCTATAGTCTAGTCTATAGTCTAGTCTATAGTCTAGTCTATAGTCTAGTCTATAGTCTAGTCTATAGTCTAGTCTATAGTCTAGTCTATAGTCTAGTCTATAGTCTAGTCTATAGTCTAGTCTATAGTCTAGTCTATAGTCTAGTCTATAGTCTAGTCTATAGTCTAGTCTATAGTCTAGTCTATAGTCTAGTCTATAGTCTAGTCTATAGTCTAGTCTATAGTCTAGTCTATAGTCTAGTCTATAGTCTAGTCTATAGTCTAGTCTATAGTCTAGTCTATAGTCTAGTCTATAGTCTAGTCTATAGTCTAGTCTATAGTCTAGTCTATAGTCTAGTCTATAGTCTAGTCTATAGTCCAGTCTAAATTATTTCTGCAAATTTTATATAATTTCCTTTCTAGTGATATATAATTCACTTTTATGTTATTAAATCTTTTAGCAGAAGTTTATATTGAAAACAATTTAATTGAAAGCTAAATTATTCCATTTCAAAATTCTGAAAACAGATTGAATTTCAAGCTAAAAAAATAAATAAAACTGTTTAAATATTTATGACAATTATTTGAAATCGTTTAAATAAAATCATTTAAATTGTTTTTGACTTAAAATATTTTCCATTTAAAAGAGGGTGTGGCAAAAAATGTTTCGCATTCTATAAACAGCATATAAATTATTTTATAGAACAACAAATTTAAGAAATATTTTATTAAAATTATTTTGTACGAATATAGCACCCACTCTAAAATAAAATTTAAAATTCATTTAAAATTTAATTTCAAAGAAAAAATATATATATTTTTTAACAAACTATGTCATTTAAAATTATTTATTAACTTGTTAATTGTTTAAATAAAATACAGCACAAACAAAAAAGGTGACAATTTGTGACACAAAATAAAATAATGCATATTTAACGATTTATTTTTTGCATATTTTTTTACACAATAGAAAATAATTATACACTTGTTTATGGAGCCTTTAATAAATTTACAAAGTACAAAGTGTGATAATTAAATTGAAAATAATAAATAACTTTGAAATAATAAAAAAAAAACGTAGAAAAAAAATTTGTGCCAAATAAGAAGCAGAAAAAAAATTGCTTTATTTTTATATCACCATAAAAAAAACTTAAAGCAATAAATACCAAAACAGCAATTTTGAATTTTTTTATTTAATTTCTTACGTTTTTATGACAATAATTGAAATTAATCAAAATAACAACAAAAACTTGGTCAACAAATATATTATGATATAAAAATTTTTGTGACACTTTAGAATAGAATTTAAGGCTGAAATTGAGTTAATTAAAGGGGAAGTACACAAATTATATATCAATAGATAGCAAACAGTAAGTACTATTCGAAAATGTTTAAAACATTTATTAATTAAACAATTTTTAAAAGACTTTTGTTGAACGAACACAAAAAAGTGAAAACTTTTTGGAGTAATTTAAAGTTTTCAGTTCTTTAATTTTACAAAAAATAAGGTTACAAAAATAAATTATATATCATTTGAAAGGTAATAAAGTAAGCTTTTCAGAAATGTATAAATTTTTTTATAGTTTTATAAAACGTAAAAGACTTTTGTGAAAAGACTACAAGAATATGAAATATTTAAAAAAAAATAATTTACTACGTAATGTTACGTTTCCACTTAGTTTATTTTACTGTTGGTAAATGAAATATAGTTGAATTGTATATATTTGAAAAGGTAATAGTGTCTACTTTTCAAAAATGTATAAATTATTTATTTACTTAACCAGTCTTGAAAGACTTTTGTTTAAAGAACACAAAAAAGCTAAAAATTTTTCAAAGTAAATCAAAGTTTTCAGTTCTTGTATTTTACAAAACATAAAGAACAAATAGTAAAATTATATATCATTTGAAAGGTAATAATGTAAGCTTTTCAAAAATATATAAAATGTTTAACTTTTACATAAAACGTAAAAGACTTTTGTAAAAAGAACACAAGAATATGAAATATCTAAAACATTTTTTACTACGTAATGTTAAGTTTCTACTTAGGTTATTTTACTGTTGATAAATGAAACATAGTTAAATTGTATATTATTAAAAAGGAAATAGTGTGTACTTTTCAAAAATGTATAAAACATTTCTTTATTTAACAATTCTTTAAAGACTTTTGTTTAAAAAACACAAAAAAGTGAAAAAATTTTCCGAGTTATTCAAAGTTTTCAGTTCTTTAATGCACATAAAATAAAGAAAAAGTAGTTAAATCATATATCACCTGAAAGGTAATAAACTAAGCTTTTTAAGAATGTATAATATTTTTAATAATTTTATAAAACCTTTAACACTTCACAGTAAACTTTTGTTTAAAGAACACAAAAAAGTAAAATATTTTTTGAGCTATTTAAAGTTTTAAGTTGTTTTATTTTACATAAAATAAAAAACAAAGAGGAAATTATATATCATTTGAAAGGTAATAAAGTAAGCTTTTCAGAAATGTATACATTTTTTTATAATTTTATAAAACGTAAAAGACTTTTGTAAAAAGACTACAAGAATATGAAATATTTAAAAAAGATTTTTACTACGCAATGTTACGTTTCCTTTTAGTTTATTTTACAGCTGGTAAATGAAATATAGTTAAATTGTATATCATTAAAAAGGAAATAGTGTGTACTTTTCAAAAATGTATAAAACATTTCTTTATTTAACAATTCTTTAAAGACTTTTGTTTAAAAAACATAAAAAAGTGACAAATTTTTCGGAGTAATTCAAAGTATTCAGGTCTATAATTTTACATAAAATAAAGACCAAACAGTAAAATAATATATCATTTGAGAGGTCATAAAGTAAGCTTTTCAAAAATATATAAAATGTTTAACTTTTACATAAAACGTAAAAGACTTTTGTAAAAAGAACACAAGAATATGAAATATCTAAAACATTTTTTACAACGTAATGTTAAGTTTCTACTTAGGTTATTTTACTGTTGATAAATGAAACATATTTAAAATGTATATCATTAAAAGGGAAATAATGTGTACTTTTCAAAAATGTATAAAACATTTCTTTATGTAACAATTCTTTAAAGACTTTTGTTTAAAAACACAAAAAAGTGAAAAATTTTTCAGAGTAATTCAAAGTTTTCAGTTCTTTAATTACACATAAAATAAAGATAAACTAGATAAATTATATATCATTTGAAAGGTAATAAACTAAGCTTTTCAAAAATATATAATATTTTAAATAATTTTATAAAACGTAAAAGACTTTTGTGAAAAGAAAAAATTACTACGTAATGTTAAGTTTCTACTTAGGTTATTTTACTGTTGATAAATGAAACATAGTTAAATTGTATATCATTATAAAGGAAATAGTGTGTAGTTTTCCAAAATGTATAAATAATTTCATTTTATAAAAATTCCAAAAAGACTTTTGTGGAAAAAACACAAAAATACAGATTTTTACTGAAAATAAAATAAATTATATATCATTACATAGCAAATAAACATATCTTTTCAAAAATATATAAAATATTTAATTGCTTTACAAATATTGAAATATAATTAAGTCTTAAATTTTTTTTATTTATTATTCAAATTTTTTGTCAATATTATAAGATCATCATTATCTATTTATCATTAAACTTAAAAAAAGAGAATCTCCATTAAGTGTCCACTCAAGCATAAAATCTATTTAGTAAATATCTCTATACATTTTTTTATAATTTTTTATGTTTAACATACCATGGCAATGGAAATAAACATTTATTTTTTATAAAAAAAACAAACACACATATACATAAGTACTTGTATTTACAAAAAAGATTATAAATTGCCAAGAATTTTTATTTAAAAATTTTTTTTTTTCATTATTTACTATTGTTAAAATCAGCTCATGTGCGAAATGGCTATGAAAATAATAAAAAAATCTATATATTATTTCAATATTAAAAAAAAAACATAAAAAATCATTGGGCGGTGGTGCAACAAGGCACACCTTACTGTAAGGCTGTAACACACCAAACAAACAACCGACAAAAAATAATGACATCTACCAAAAACGGTTTAAAGAAAAAAACAAAACAAAAGCGACAACCAAAAGGTATGTTCAGTTTAGTAGTGTATTTATGTTTTATATGTGACTGTTATAAAAATATTAAAAAAAATAACTAAATAAATAAAAAATTATTGGTTTACATATAAAAACAAATCAGTACAAACTTTAACAACCTACTAAAACAACAACAAAAGTACTTACGTACTTACATGTATATGTGTATGTTTTGTTAGGTAAATAGTATGTACGTTTATAGTTTTTAAACATTGCATTCAAACATATTTTTTTTAGTTCAAACCGTGAGGTTTTGAAAAAATACTTATTATACAAATATAACATTAAGTTGGAAAAAATAACGTTTAAAAAAATAACAGCTACATAGTTTTGAGCAGCTCTCAATGTTGCCACAGTGTTGTAAAGGAAAAGATTCTTTAGAAGTTTTGCAAAAACAAAAATTAACTGGAAGAAAACTAGAACAGAACTAGAACAGAACTAGAACTGAACTAGAACTGAACTAGAACTGAACTAGAACTGAACTAGAACTGAACTAGAACTGAACTAGAACTGAACTAGAACTGAACTAGAACTGAACTAGAACTGAACTAGAACTGAACTAGAACTGAACTAGAACTGAACTAGAACTGAACTAGAACTGAACTAGAACTGAACTAGAACTGAACTAGAACTGAACTAGAACTCAACTAAAACTGAACTAGAACTGAACTAGAACTGAACTTAAACTGAACTAGAACTGAACTAGAACTGAACTAGACTGAAACTAGAACTGAACTAGAACTGAACTAGAACTGAACTAGAACTGAACTAGAACTGAACTAGAACTGAACTAGAACGAACTAGAACTGAACTAGAACTGAACTAGAACTGAACTAGAACTGAACTAGAACTGAACTAGAACTGAACTAGAACTGACTAGAACTGAACTAGAACTGAACTTAACTGAACTAGAACTGAACTAGAACTGAACTAGGACTGAGCTAGACTGAACTAGAACTGAACTAGAACTGAGCCCTAGACTGAGGCCTCAGAACTGAGCTAGAACTGAGCTAGACTACTGAACTAGAACTGAACTAGAACTGAACTAGAACTGAACTAGAACTGAACTAGAACTGAACTAGAACTGAACTAGAACTGAACTAGAAAGAACTAGAACTGAACTAGAACTGAACTAGAACTGAACTAGAACTGAACTAAACTGAACTAGAACTGAACTAGAACTGAACTAGACTGAGCTAGAACTGAACTAGAAACTGAACTAGAACTGAGCTAGAACTGAGCGAGAAACGAGCGAAGAAAAGAAGAGAAAGGAAGAGAGAACGGAAAAGAGAAGGAAAGAGAACGGAACGAGAAAGAACGAGAACGGAAAGAGAAAGGAAAGAGAAAGGAAAGAGAAAGGAACGAGAACGGAAAGAAAGGACGAGAAAGGAAGAGAAACGGAAAGAGAACGGAACGAGAGGAAGAGAAAGGAAAGAGAAACGGAAAGAGAAAGGAAAGAGAAAGGAAAGAGAAAGAAAGAGAAGGAAGAGAAAGGAACGAGAAAGGAAGAGAACGGAACGAGAAGATGAAAGAGAACGGAAAGAGAAGAGAGAACGGAACGAGAAAGAACGAGAACGGAAAGAGAAGGAACGAGAACGGAACGAGAAGGAAGAGAAAAGAGAAGAACGAGAACGGAAACGAGAACGGAACGAGAACGGAACGAGAACGGAAACGAGAAACGGAAACGAGAACGAACGAGAACGAACGAGAACGGAACGAAACGGAACGAGAACGGAACGAGAAAGGAACGAGAAACGGAAACGAGAACGGAACGAGAACGGAACGAGAACGGAACGAGAAGGAACGAGAACGGAACGAGAAACGGAACGAGAACGGAACGAGAAGAAGAGAACGAACGAGAACGGAACGAGAACGGAACGAGACGAAGAGAACGGAACGAGACGGAAACGAGAACGGAACGAGAACGGAACGAGAACGGAACGAGAACGAGAACGGAAAGAGCGAGCGAGCGAGCGAGCGAGCGAGCGAGCGAGCGAGCGAGCGAGCGAGCGAGCGAGGCGAGCGAGCGAGCGAGCGAGCGAGCGAGCGAGCAGCGAGCAGCGAGCAGAGAGTCAGCGAGCGAGCGAGCGAGCGAGCGAGCGAGCGAGCGATCGAGCGAGCGAGCGAGCGAGCGAGCGAGCGAGCGAGCGAGGAGCGAGCGAGCGAGCGAGAGCGAGCGAGCGAGCGAGCGAGCGAGCGAGGAGCGAGCGAGCGAGCGAGCTGAGCGAGCGAGCGAGGAGCGAGCGAGCGAGCGAGCGAGCGAGGAGCGAGCGAGCGAGCGAGCGAGCGAGGCGAGCGAGCGAGCGAGGAGCGAGCGAGCGAGCGAGCGAGCGCAGCGACTAGGAGCGAGCGAGCGAGCGAGCAGCGAGCGAGCGAGCGAGCGAGCGAGCGAGCGAGCGAGCGAGCGAGCTTAGCGAGCGAGCGAGCGAGCGATCGAGCGAGCGAGCGAGCGAGCGAGCGAGCAGCGAGCGAGCGACAGCGAGCGAGCGAGCGAGCGAGCGAGCGAGCGAGCGAGAGCGAGCGAGCGAGCGAGAGAGATGAGAGCGAGCGAGCGAGCTAGCGAGCTAGCATCGATAGCGAGAGAGCGAGCATCGAGCGAGCTATCTATCTATCGATATCTAGCTATCTATCATCTATCTATCTATCTAGCGATCTATCTATCTATCTATCTATCTCATCTATATATCTATCTATCTATCATACTATCTTTAACCAAACAAAGTTTTACTCTTTTAAATCCCCTCCTTTTGCTAAAACTACATACTTGTATTAAACATACTAACAGTCTCTGGTATGTGTGCTGAGTGTGTGTGTTTTTCTGTATGAAAAAACGCCAACTATTTCTTGAATTTTTCTTATTTTCTGTTTTTAATAAAAAATGAAAAAAAAAAAACAAACACATTCAACGACATGGTATGCATCTTAAATAAACGTGCGAACCAAAACTATTCATATTTGTAGTCAGTCAGTCAGCCAGCCACCATACGTACGAGCAAACAACCATGCCATTCCATACTTTAAATGTTGTGTAAAAATATGCGAAATGGCCTAAAAAATAAACTACAATAAACCAATACTGACTGTAAAACATATTTATATTTATATTTTAGATTATTTCTAAAAGGCATTATAAAGCGATACAATCGATGATACACAAGTACATATTTACAAAAGTATTTTATTTTATACATTTGGTTTTAGGAAACTATATAAAACATAGGGGAGGGAGGGTTAGTATTCAGAAGCTTTAACTTTTGTTTTAAAAAAATATTAAACCAGATTTATTTAATAACCGCAAAGTTTTACTTTACAAAGTGAAATTTTCTTGTTAATCAAAAAGAAATTCAACTTTGATTGTTGTCCAATTTCAGTATTTATTAACAATTTTCTTGTATATTATTAATCAGCTATATAATTAAATTCATAAAAATTCCTTTTCAATTTCTATTGCGTGTTACATGAAAGACAAAAGAAAATGTCATTGAATTTAATTATAGACTCACTTTTTGTTATAAAATTTTAAAATGTTTTTTTTTTACTCATAACACATTTATCAATAATATTTTCTATAAATAAAACTCTATGGAAATTGTTTTAAAAATAACAGGTTGAAATATACATATTAATTATGGGAATAAAGCAGAAAATACTGTTCAAAATATAATTTCTTGTGGTCAAACGATTTTTTGTTCCAAATCTCATTTTATCATACAAAATCAATATCTTCCACATATTTTTAACTTAACAATTGACTTTTTATCAAAATCTTATACTTTTACAACTTTTAAGGAAAAATTTAAGTTTCTATCTTAAAAACCACTTTTCATTATAAAAAATTTTGTTTCTAAATTCGGAAAAAACGAATTAAGTTCTAGTTGAGTTCTAGTTCAGTTCTAGTTCAGTTCTAGTTCAGTTCTAGTTCAGTTCTAGTTCAGTTCTAGTTCAGTTCTAGTTCAATTCTAGTTCAGTTCTAGTTCAATTCTAGTTCAGTTCTAGTTCAGTTCTAGTTCAGTTCTAGGTCAGTTCTAGTTCAGTTCTAGTTCAGTTCTAGTTCAGTTCTAGTTCAGTTCTAGTTCAGTTCTAGTTCAGTTCTAGTTCAGTTCTAGTTCAGTTCTAGTTCTAGTTCAGTTAGTTCAGTTCTAGTTCAGTTCTAGTTCAGTTTAGTTCAGTTCTAGTTCAGTCTAGTTCAGTTCTAGTTCAGTTCTAGTTCAGTTCTAGTTCAGTTCTAGTTCTTCAGTTCTAGTTCAGTTCTAGTTCAGTTCTAGTTCAGTTCTAGTTCAGTTCTAGTTCAGTTCTAGTTCAGTTCTAGTTCAGTTCTAGTTCAGTTCTAGTTCAGTTCTAGTTCAGTTCTAGTTCAGTTCTAGTTCAGTTCTAGTTCAGTTCTAGTTCAGTTCTAGTTCAGTTCTAGTTCAGTTCTAGTTCAGTTCTAGTTCAGTTCTAGTTCAGTTCTAGTTCAGTTCTAGTTCAGTTCTAGTTCAGTTCTAGTTCAGTTCTAGTTCAGTTCTAGTTCAGTTCTAGTTCAGTTCTAGTTCAGTTCTAGTTCAGTTCTAGTTCAGTTCTAGTTCAGTTCTAGTTCAGTTCTAGTTCAGTTCTAGTTCAGTTCTAGTTCAGTTCTAGTTCAGTTCTAGTTCAGTTCTAGTTCAGTTCTAGTTCAGTTCTAGTTCAGTTCTAGTTCAGTTCTAGTTCAGTTCTAGTCAGTTCTAGTTCAGTTCTAGTTCAGTTCTAGTTCAGTTCTAGTTCAGTTCTAGTTCAGTTCTAGTTCAGTTCTAGTTCAGTTCTAGTTCAGTTCTAGTTCAGTTCTAGTTCAGTTCTAGTTCAGTTCAGTTCAGTTCTAGTTCAGTTCTAGTTCAGTTCTAGTTCAGTTCTAGTTCAGTTCTAGTTCAGTTCTAGTTCAGTTCTAGTTCAGTTCTAGTTCAGTTCAGTTCAGTTCTAGTTCAGTTCTAGTCAGTTCTAGTTCAGTTCTAGTTCAGTTCTAGTTCAGTTCTAGTTCAGTTCTAGTTAAGTTCTAGTTCTAGTTCTAGTTCAGTTTCTAGTTCAGTTCTAGTTCAGTTCTAGTTCAGTTCTAGTTCAGTTCTAGTTCAGTTCAGTTCAGTTTAGTTCAGTTCTAGTCAGTTCTAGTTCAGTTCTAGTTCAGTTCTAGTCAGTTTAGTTCAGTTCTAGTTCAGTTCTAGTTCAGTTCTAGTTCAGTTCTAGTTCAGTTTCTAGTTCAGTTCTAGTTCAGTTCTAGTTCAGTTCTAGTTCAGTTCTAGTTCAGTTCTAGTTCAGTTCATAGTCAGTTCTAGTTCAGTTCTAGTTCAGTTCTAGTTCAGTTCTAGTTCAGTTCTAGTTCAGTTCTAGTTCAGTTCTAGTTCAGTTCTAGTTCAGTCAAGTTTCTAGTTCAGTTCTAGTTCAGTTCTAGTTCAGTTCTAGTTCAGTTCTAGTTCAGTTCTAGTTCAGTTCTAGTTCAGTTCTAGTTCTAGTTCAGTTCGTTCGTTCTAGTTCAGTTCAGTTCTAGTTCAGTATCTAGTTCAGTTCTAGTTCAGTTCTAGTTCAGTTCTAGTTCAGTTCTAGTTCAGTTCTAGTTCAGTTCTAGTTCAGTTCTAGTTCAGTTCTAGTTCAGTTCTAGTTCAGTTCTAGTTCAGTTCTAGTTCAGTTCTAGTTCAGTTCTAGTTCAGTTCTAGTCAGTTCTAGTTCAGTTCTAGTTCAGTTCTAGTTCAGTTCTAGTCAGTTCTATTCAGTTCTAGTTCAGTTCTAGTTCAGTTCTAGTTCAGTTCTAGTTCAGTTCTAGTTCAGTTCTAGTTCAGTTCTAGTTCAGTTCATAGTTCAGTTCTAGTCAGTTCTAGTTCAGTTCTAGTTCAGTTCTATAGTTCAGTTCTAGTTCAGTTCTAGTTCAGTTCTAGTTCAGTTCTAGTTCAGTTCTAGTTCAGTTCTAGTTCAGTTCTAGTTCAGTTCTAGTTCAGTTCTAGTTCAGTTCTAGTTCAGTTCTAGTTCAGTTCTAGTTCAGTTCTAGTTCAGTTCTAGTTCAGTTCTAGTTCAGTTCTAGTTCAGTTCTAGTTCAGTTCTAGTTCAGTTCTAGTTCAGTTCTAGTTCAGTTCTAGTCAGTTCTAGTTCAGTTCTAGTTCAGTTCTAGTTCAGTTCTAGTTCAGTTTCTAGTTCAGTTCTAGTTCAGTTCTAGTTCAGTTCTAGTTTCAGTTCTAGTTCAGTTCTAGTTCAGTTCTAGTTCAGTTCTAGTCAGTTCTAGTTCAGTTTAGTTCAGTTCTGTTCGTTAGTTCAGTTCTAGTTCAGTTCTAGTTCAGTTCTAGTTCAGTTCTAGTTCGTTCTAGTTCAGTTCTAGTTCAGTTCTAGTTCAGTTCTAGTTCAGTTCTAGTTCAGTTCTAGTAGTTCTAGTTCAGTCAGTTCAGTTCTAGTTCAGTTCTAGTTCAGTTCTAGTTCAGTTCTAGTTTCAATTCTAGTTCATTTCTAGTTTATATATTCTCCACACTTATTTTCTCTTTATGTTTTTTGGTCTACAAATTTATGATAAGCGCTACTTAAAAATGATTTATACTCATAATTATCTTAAATACTAATTATTTAACGAAAATCTTTTTAGGGTTATTATAAACTAATTAAATAATTAAGCCATTGTAAGCAAAGAAAAACTAAAAATAAAAAAACACTCACCTTACGCAGTGCTAAAATTAGCACTCGTTTGCATAAATTTATACAAACATATTGATGACAAAATAAACATAATCCACAGAGCAATAAAATATATAGCAGCAAAAACAAAAACAAAATTCACACACACAAATAACGAAATTGTAATAAAAGTTTATAAACAAAAACAGAAATATTTTTTTTGAAAATTTGTCAAAACAAATGTATTTGCAGTTAAAAATTTTCTCTTAATTATTTTCAAAAATTTCGTTTAATTTTTAGGTTTTGCCACTTGTTTGCACTTGTTTTGCGGGAAATGAAAAACACGCACTGCAAAGAAAAGAAAAAAAATTTAATTAAAAATTTTTAATTATTTTAAAAGTTTAAAAAGGGTAAAATAAGTATTAAGTACATTTTTAATGATGTTTCTATAACAAAAATTTCAAAATCTTTCTACAGAACTCTTTAGGTTGTTAAATTACTTCATGTTAATCTTGATTTTGTTTTCTCAATTAATTTATAATTATTTAATGCCGCATTTAATTTCTTAATTTACTTTATCTGCCATTTACATTAAATTTTATTTAATTCTTTTGAAAATTTAATTGAGCTATAAACGGTTTTTTTCAAGTTTCTTTTCCATTTATTTTGTTTCAAAAAGCACGCGGTATTATTTGATTTGTGTTGAAGCCACCACAACTTGTTGATTTTGTTGTCAAAATTTTAAAATTTTTTTCTGCTGATTTGACGTTTTATTTATTTCAACATTTGTTGCTTTACTTTTTCTTCTACTGCTTAATGTTTTCAATAATAACCCAACAAACACAAATATTTGAAAAATACATGAAATGGAGAATGTTTGGAAAGACTTAAATGAAATGGAGATCAATTCCATAGGTCCTTCAAAACCGATTATAGTGATTTTTTAACTTTTTTACTTTTCACGTAAAATATTTCATTTCGCCTAAAAACCTAAAAGTTATAATTTCACCAAAAAGTGAAAAGTATTTCACATTTTAATTTCACCAAGATTCTTCAATTCACCCAAAAGTCTACTTATCATATAAAAATCGAATTTCTGTCCAAAAATTTAATTTTCACACGAAACTTTACATTTCACCCAAAAATCTTAATTTCACCCAAAAGTGAAATAAAAAGTATTTCAGAAAAGAATTTAGTTTTTTCTCCCAAAAAACTTCAATTCACACAAAAAATCTACTTTTCACTCAAAACTCCTAATTTTACCCAAAAGTGAAAGTATTTCACCCAAAAATCTTCTATTCGCCCAAAAAACTTAATTTCACACAGTAATTTACTTTTCACCTAAAATATTTCATTTTACTCAAAAATCTGTATTTCACCCAAAAGTCATAATTTCACCAAAAGGTGAAAAGTATTTCACCTAAAAATTTTAATTTCACAAAAAATCTTCAATTCACCCAAAAGTCTACTTATCATAAAAAAATCGAATTTTCGTCAAAAAATCAAATTTTCACACAAAAATTTACATTTTACCCAAAAAGTGATATAAAAATTATTTCACACAAAATGTAAAATACTTTGGGTTTTCACCCAATTACTTCAATTTAAATAAAAAAACTACTTTTCACTCAAAATTCCCAATTTCGCCCAAAAGTAAAAAGTATTTCACCCAAAAAAACTTTATTTCAAACAACAAACAACTAATTTTCAAACAAAAATTTACATTTCACCCAAAAATGTTCAATTCACCCAAAAGTGAAATAAAAAGTATTTCACACAAAATGCTAGTTTTTCATCCAAAAAACTTCAATTCACCCAAAAAATCTACTTTTCACTCAAAATTCCTATTTTCACCCAAAAGTGAAAAGTATTTCACCCAAAAATCTTCTATTCACACAAAAAAAAAACTTAATTTCTCATAATAATTAACTTTTTACCTTAAATATTTAATTTTAGTTAAAAATCTTTATTTTACCCAAATGTCATAATTTCACTGGAAGGTGATAAATATTTCACTTAAAATTTAAATTTCACCAAAAATCCTTAATTCACCCAAACGTCTACTTATCAAACAAAAATTTGATTTTCGTCAAAAAATTTTATTTCCACACGAAACTTTACATTTCACTAAAAATTTATTTGTTACACCAACAAATCTGCATTTCACTTAAAAATCTACTTTTCACTTTATTTCACTAAAAATCTACATTTCTCTTTAAAATATCAATATTTTGCTTTAAAAATCTTGTTTTCATCCAAAAATCAACTTTTCACTTAAAAATTGACATCTTTCACCCAAAAAACTACTTTTCACCTTCATTTCACCCAATAATAAACTTTTCAAACAAAAATCTTCACCCAAAAAACCGACATTTCATCTAAAAATCTTAAATTTTTCCAAGGATTTACTATTCACCAAATATTTAATTTCACGCAAAAATCTTAATTTTTACAAGGATTTACTTTTCACCAAATTCTTAATTTCATCAAATTCTTAATATCATCAAATTCTAAATTTCACTTAAAAATTTTAATTTCAACTAAAAAATCGATTTTTCACCTAAAAATTTAAAAATTTTCCAAGAATTTCCTTTTCACCAAATATTTAAATTCACCCAAAAATCTTAATTTGTCCAAGGATTTACGTTTCTCCCAATTCTTAATTTCACCAAATTCTTAATTTTACCAAATTCTTAATTTCACCAAATTCTAAATTTCACCAAATTCTAAATTTCACCCAAAAATCAACTTTTCACTTAAAAAATCCTTATTTCACCCAAAAATCAACTTTTCGCTTAGAACCCTTCATATCACCCAAAAATTTTTATTTCACCTAAAAAATTTCGAGCAAAAATCTACTTTTTGCTAAAAAAAATCTACTTTCACCCAAAAATGTTGATTTTAAACAAAAAACCGATTATCACACAAATGTTTGCTATACACTCATTACCAAAATTTTTCACCTTTTTTTAATCAACCAATTCACAATTTCAAATAGTCCATTTTATTTCAAAAATTCATATATTTTCACAGTGTATTGACAACTACTTTCAAGATCAGAGAAAGAGCATAACTTTGTTAAACAAGAGAGTGAGTAAACTTTAAGTGGTGGGAAGTTTTGGGGGGTGTGGGGGTGGTACGTTAGGTAAATTCATATTTAAAAAACTTATAGTTTTATCAATTTTAAATGTTTACTTTTTGGAATTAGAGAGAGAGAGAGGGAGAGTAATTTTTGTTGTTGTTGTTGTAATGACCTTTCTAAAATGTAGGATTTAATGTGTGTGTGTGTATTACACTAATACCTTTCGCTCTGGGTGTTCGACTTTTGTAATAATTACATTAATATGTTTTTTTTTCATTTAGCAGCCGCCCCCCCTTCAACCTTCTTAAGTGATTTGTTTTTGGCAGAGTATGAACAATGACTAAATAAGTAGTATAATTAATAAATAGTTACTAAAGCACATGGACTGTTTAGCGAAATCAATGGTGAACATGTGCCATAGGTTAATTTGTGCGTTTCAGAAGTGGTGATTTTGTTAAGACACAGATCGATCGGGCCAACGAACAAGTTTCGAAGGTCAATGTAAGTTTGTTTAATTGTTGAGAGTTGCCACGCCCTCTCCCTTAAAAGTCGAATATATTGTAAAGACAATTTTCTCATCCATATGAAAATTTGAAGGAAAAGTGGGAGGAATAGCTAGTTATAGAGGGCGTGGCACCTATCTTATCAAATAAATAGAAACATTTATATATCTAGGAAACACTTAAAGCTAGACACCACAAATTTTACACACATAAATTTGTCATTCATGTGAAGATTTGGGCAAATAAATGGGCGGATTAGAAATACGGGCGTGGCAGCTACCATATAAATAAAATAAAACAATTTCGTCTAATTGGGAAAGTATTAGAACCGGAATTTTAAAAGTTCTTTATGGCAACATTGAAATCCATATAAACCATTTGAAGGAAAAGTGGGAGGGCTAAAAAAAAGGGGCGTGGCATCTCCCACATAAATAAAATAAAACAATTTCGTCTAACTGGGAAAGTATTAGAGCCGGAATTCTAAAAGTTTTTAAAGGGAAACATTAAAATCCATATAAATCCATATTTGAAGGAAAAGTGGGAAGACTAAAAAAGGGGCGTGACACCTCCTTTATGAATTAAATACAAAAATGTGAATATCTAGAAAACGCTTATAGCTAGAATCCTCAAATTTGGCACAAACAACTAATGTTGAACGTAAACAACATTAAAATCCATATAAACAATTTCAAGGAATAATGGGAGGGCTAAAAAAGGGCATGGCATCTCCCATATAAATAAAATAAAACAATTTCGTCTAACTGGCAAAGTATTTGAGCTGGAATTCTAAAAGTTCTTTAGGGCAACATTGTAATCCATATAAACCATTTCAAGGAAAAATGGTAGGACTAAAAAGGGGCGTGACACCTCCTATATGCATTACATACAAAAATGTGAATATCTAGAAAACGCTTATAGCTAGAATCCTTAAATTTGGCACAAACAACTTTGTTATAAATGTGAAAATTTGAGTTATAAACTGGCGAATTAGGAATAGGAGGCGTGGCATAACTATTTAAAAAACAAGGAAATGGGATTTCACATGATTATTCAGATCATAAATCTTATATTAATGATCAAAAACTTTGAGAGACTACTCACTGGAGGCTCCCAAATACAATTGTGAACAATTGAAAAATTTTAATTTATTTAAAAAAATAATAAAAATTGATTTTTGACTAAAAAAAATAAATTTTTTTTCAAGGAAATTATAAAAAAATAAATAAAAAAATAAAAAAACTTTTTTTAAACCAATTCAGGATCTCAAATATTAAAATACGTTTCTAAAATAATTCATAATAAAAATGTTTAAAATTTGTTTAAAATATTTAATAACATTTTATATTAAATTATTAAATATTAATAATGTTTTTTTGTTACATATAATGTTTTTAATATGATTTATTTTAAATGAAATTAATTTTCAATGGTTTTTTTATTCAATTTTATTAGTTATTTATTCATTAATTTATTTATTTATTCATTTATTTATTTATTAATTTTTGTGCACTTTTGATATACTTTTATAATTTATATTTAAGTATTTAATTTTCTTCGAACTGTGTGAATTTATTATTTATGAACAAAATATTATTTCAGGCTTGATTTCAACTCTTATCTAATTATTTTTATTTATTTTTTTAATTTTAAGAATGTTTTGAAAGTTTGTTATTTAAAAATAATGTAAAAAAGAAAAGATTTTTAATATTTTAGTTTTTCTTAGAAAATTTTAAAATTTATGAGAAAAAATTGTTTAGAAATAGTATTCAAAAATAGTATTTTAAATATTATTTTTATAATTTTCAAATTAAGCAAATTTTTTTTAAGTTTTTATTTATTTAAATTTATTTTAATTGTTTCAAAATTCAATTTAATTTTTAAATGATTTTTTGTTTTATAATTGTTAAAAAAAATCACAACAAAATTATTAAATAATTAAGAAATTATTAAATTTAAAAAAAAAAGTATTTTTATAAATTTAATTTTATTTATTTTGAATTTATTGTTATTTAAAGAAAATAATTTATAAAACTATTTTTTATTACTTTTTTATTAATTTTTTAATTTGTTAATTTCATAGTAGTTTTAAAAATTCCGTAAAAACAATTATAATTTCTTTATTTTTTTTTTTAATTTTATTTTAATAATTTATTGTAATTTAATAAAAAATGTTTTTTTATTTATTTTTTAATTTTAATTAATTAAATAATTAAGAAATTATTTAATTTAAAATGTTTTTTATTTATTTTTCATTTGTTTATAGTTTTTTAAAGAAGTTATTTATATTAACGTTTTATTTAATTGATTTTTAGTTTTAAGAAAATTCAAATAAATTTATTAAATAATTAAATTTAAAATATTTTTTATTTATTTTTAATTTATGGTTATTTAAGAGAATAATTTATATTTATTTTTATTTTTTATTCCTTTTCTATTAATTTTTTTAATTTAAAATTAATTTAAAAATTTTGAATAAATTAATTCAATAATTAAGAAATGATGTAGTGTTTTTTATTACTTTAACAATTTTTAATTATTTTTTTTTTAAAGTTGAAAAAATTTATTAAATTAAAAATGTTTTTATTTATTTATCTTTTATTTTAATTGATTAAATAATAAAGAAATTATTTAATTTAAAATGTTATTTATTATTAAATGTTTTTTGTTTTTTATTTTAATTTATTATTTATTTAAAGAAATTATTTAAATTAATTTAAAAATGATTAAATTTAAAGTAATTTTAATTTATTTTTATTTAATGAAAATAATTTTTTATTATTTTTTTATTAATTTTATAAATATTTTAAAAATTTTGAATAAATTTGTTAAAAAAAATTATTTGATTTAAAATGTTTTCTGTTTATTTTTTAATTTTAATTCCTGAAATAATTAAGAAATTATTTCATTTAAAATGCTTTTTTATTTATTTTTTAATTTATTTATAATTCTATCAATTTATATAGAAATGATTAAATTTAAAATAATTATAAATTATTTAAAGAAAATAATTTTTTAAAATTTTTTTTTTTTATTAATTTTATAATTGTTTTGAAAATTTCATATAAATTTATTAAAGTTATTTAATTTAAAATGTTTTTTTAATTTTATTTTTTAATAATTAAGAAATTATTTATTATAAAAAGTTTTTTATTTATTTTTTAATTTATTTGATTAAATAATTAAAAAATTATTTAATTTAAATTGTTTTTTATTTATTTTTTAATTTTATTTAATTAAAGAATTTATAAATTATTTAATTTAAAATGTTTTGTATTTCTTTTTTAATTTTAATTTATTTATAATTATTTAAAGTTGTAAAGAAATTATTAAATTTAAAATAATTTTAATTTATTGTTATTTAACGAACCTCTTTTTTTCTTCTTTTTTTTTTTTCTTCTTTCTCCTTCTCTTGCCTTCTTTTCTTACCACTTCCGCCCTTCTTTCCTTTACCCCTCGTTTTTTTCGTTCCTTTTTCTCTTTCCTCCTTCGGCCTTCTTTCTTCTCCCCGTTTTTTTCTTTCTTTTTTTCCTTTTCCTTCCTTCCTCCTTCCGCCCTTCTTTCCTTTCCCCGTTTTTCTTTCTTTTCTTTCCCCTGTTTTTTTTCTTATTTTTTCTTCCTCTTCCTTTCTTTCGCTTTTCTTCCCTTTCCCCTCCTTTTCCTTTCTTGTTCTTTCCCGCCCTCCTTTTTCTTCTTTTGTTTCTTCCTTTTCCTTGTTTTCCCTTTCTTTTCTTCCCCCTTCCGCCCTTCTTTCCTTTCCCTCGTTTTTTTCTTCTTTTTTTTCCTTTTCTCTTTTCCTCCTTCCGCCCTTCTTTCTTCTCCCGTGTTTTTTCTTTCTTTTTTTTCCTTTTCCTCTTTTCCCTCCTTCCGAAATTATTTATTATAAAAAGTTTTTTATTTATTTTTTAATTTATTTATAATATTTAAATTTGTATAGTTATTAAAGAAGAAAATAATTTTTTAATTAATTTTATAATGGTTTTGAATTTATTTTATTAAAAATTAGAAATTATTTAATTTAATATAGTTTTTTATTTTTTTTTTAATTTTATATTTTTAATAATTAAGAAATTATTTATTAAAATGTTTTTTATTTATCTTTTTAATTTTAATATTTTAAATAATTAAGAAATTATTTATTATAAAGTTTTTTATTAATTTTTTAAATTTTATATTTTAATAAATTAAGAAATTATTTATTATAACAAGTTTTTTATTTATTTTTTTAATTTGAATTCCTTAAATAATTAAGAAATTATTTTATTATAAAAAGTTTTTTATTTATTTTTTTAATTTTAAATTGAATAAATAATTAAGGAATTATTTATTATAAAATGTTTTTTATTATGTTTTTTTCATAGTATTTAATTACATAATTAAGCAATTATTAGATTAATTTTATTACTATTTTTTTTAATTTTAATTATATTTATAATTATATTTAATATATATTTAGTTATATTTAGTTATAATTATTTATATTATATTAAAATTTTTGTTAATTATTATTTATTTTATTTTTTTTTTTTTTTGTTATTTTATTTTTAAAATATTTATTTTTCTTTATATAATTTTATTTTATGTATATTTAAACAATTGTTTTTTATTTTTTTTTTATTATTATTTTTTATTATTATTTATTTTTAGCGGTTTTTTTTTATTGAAAACAATTTGTTTTTTTTTTTTTCAAAATGCACTGAGAAAAATAGTTGTTTAGTGAAAAATAGCAAAATATAAGAGAGTAAATTAAAGGGAGAATTGGGGTTCTTGTATTTTTTTTTTTTTCTTTATCACTTAATTTTTTTATACATTTTACGGCAATAACCTGATGTGTTTCGTTTTATTTTGTTGTTTTTTTTTTTTCATTTCGTGTTTAGTTTCTCATTATTGTTGTTGTTGTTATTTTGTATATTTAACGTCGCCAAAGTAGTGGTTTTTGTTATTGTTGTTGTTGAAAAGAATGCCATATATTTTGTTGTTGTCGTTAAATTTTTTTTTTTTGAGTTGAGTTGTTGTTTTTTTTTTCTACTGTATAGAAAAAAAAAGATCTTGTTTTTGTATTTGAAAAACTATACTCTCACACTCTCTAATTAACTCTCTAAACTTGCTCTCTAAGACTTTTGAAGAGAGCAACAAAAAAACACAAATTTATTTATTAAACATAATTGATTTTTGTTTAATTGTATGGGTTTTTTTGAAATTTTGTTAAATTTAACAAAATAAAAATTTTTTATATTTTTTTTTTTTATAAAAAAAAACACAAAAATAATTTAATTTTCTTTTTTAATCACCTTTTTTATAATTGCCAGCTTTATAATCAACGCGTTTTAGTCAAAATCACTCTCGTTGTGGTATTTCATGGAAATTTTTCTCTTTTTTTTATAAATTCATTATATATATTTTTTTAAATAAACTTATAGTACGAGTTGTTGTAATTTTCAAATTTAATTTCAAACTTTAAACTATAAAAAGTTTTTTTTGAAAACTTTTTTTTTTAATAAATCTTTTTAAATAATTTCTAATAAAACTTTTAGAAGTTTTTTTTGTATTTTTATAATTTTCTCTTTTTTTTCAAATAAAATCTTAAAAAAAAATCTTTTCAAAAACTTTTATATATTTCAACCGCTTCGCTCAGCACCGTAAACTAAACTGAACTAAACTGCTGGGCACCAGCAACATTTGTTTTTTCCTCGCACACACAAAAATTCCATCAGAGATTCATTCCAACAATGTTTTTTGGATTTTTTTTTCTTTCTTTCTTTCGTTATTTTATTTTGTACACTTTGCAATCTGTATCTCTGTGTATCTTAAAGATACTCGCGGGTTTTTTTTTGTTACGAATTATTGTGGTATGAGTAAAAATGTTGGATTTGTTTCTTTACAAGTTGCTGTCGTTACGTTGCGTTCATTGTCGTGGTCGTCGTTGTCGTACCTGCTATTAAAACAATTATGGTGAGTGTATTGCGTTTGTTTGTGTGTAGAAATGTAACCGTGTTGTGTATCTGTGTTTAAAACTATTTTGTATATTGAGGTCTTTTTTTTACCACTGATTTTCCCCGTTCGTTCTTCTATATATATTACTCTCTTTTTTTTCACTATAACACTCTCTCGTTACTCTACTCTATTCTCTTTCAAGATCGTTTTGTATAAAAATATTTGTATTTAGCATTGCCAACTTGAAATGTCTACCAGTTTGTTGGTGTGTGTGTGTGTGGTATGGCCGCAACAACAACAACAAATACCAAGAAGTACTAAAGAAGTAGGAACAAAAAATCTAATTGGCAAAGAATTTGAAGAACAATTTTATTTCTCCAAATCACCATAATTTCTTGCAAGGTCAGTTTATCATCTTTGGCTTATAGAAATGTTGTTGTTGTTGTTCCAAAGAAATGCTGAAAACCTTTGTAGGAGTTCAAAAAAAAAAAAAAAAAACGTTGAAATGTTAAGGAGCAGAAAAGTATGTGGCTGATGTAAAGAGTTAAGGTTGGCAAATCTTACATGACCAATACTTCCTTAATCCAAATGGATCTTTCGGTATTGATCATTGTTTGTGATCAAAGCTCATCTGATCAAAACTTGATCTACTCAATTAACCATTCAAATTGATCCTTTTATCCATTATAAGACTGCTTTATACAAAATATATTTTAGATGATCTTGTTGTCTTGAGATTTGAAAATATTCTGATATTAAGCGTTCTTGAATTGTTCTTAATACTCGATTAAGTTACCGAAGTATATCTGAACAACGCGATCCTACCTTCGTCAATCTCACGCAACGCTTCAGCTCATTAATGATCGGGTATTGATCATCGCTGTGATCAAGGCTTCATCTACTCATGTTATCAAATCTTTTCCTACTCCATTAACCATTTAAATTGGCCCTTGAATCCATCTTAATTTATTCTACATAAGATCATTCAGATGATCTTGCAGGCAGGTTGCCTTAAGATTTGAATGTATTCACCTTTATTCTACATAAGATCATTCAGATGATCTTGCAGGCAGGTTGCCTTAAGATTTGAATATATTCTGATATTAAGCGATCTTGCATTGATCTTCATACTTGAAATAAATTACCGGTATATATCTAATCAATGCGATCGATCCTTCTTCTTCAATCGCCCTAATTACATGCATCTTAGCATGCAACGCTGCAGCTCACGGTTGATCCCGTATTGATCATCACTGTGATCAAAGCTTTATTTACTCAAGGCATCAAAGGCTTTCCTACGCAATTAACTCAATTAACTATATTTCAGATGATCTTGTTGTCTTAGGTTAGGTTAGGTTGATGTGTAGTACATCAAATCCGAAGAAATACATCTAGACCACTATCGGGCCTGTTGTGCGCTAATTTTCATGAAAAAAATGGTTTAATGTTCAGAAACTCAGTTTCCTGGATGTAATTCGTAAGAATTTTCCAAACAGTGTTAGTCAGGAATGTTATTTCCGGAATAACATCACTTTCAAGATACTTGGATCTAACTTCGACGAATGCTTAACAGTGGCAAAGAGAAAGTGCTCCAAAGTATCACTGTCCTCTCCACATGCTCTACAATCAGCTGAATCCGCACAGCCAATTTGGAATATATTTGCTCGTAATCCTGTGTGTCCACTCAGAATATGTACATCATACTAACTTCAGACTTGCTGGTCTTGTTCTCATCAGTGTCACCCCATAGGATCTTTGTGGTTCTACCCACCGTTTCATTATTCCAGACGCCTTATGGGATTCTCTCACCCATATTATTAATTCAGCTTTTGTTGCGTCGAATCGTTTTGCGTTTGTCAGGTTCCTTCCCTTTAAAACTATTACATTCGCCCTTTCGTTGCCGACTACTCCCGAATGGTCTGGTATCCTATGATGTAAACCTTAGCTCTGGGAGAGTATTCAGTTAAAGCTTTCTTACAATCCAATGCGGTCTTAGATTTAATTCTATCACATGATATCGCTCCAATTGCCTTCTGGCTGTCGGTAAATATATTAACGGCTGTGGGCACCAGTATTTATTCTAATCCAATTTACACATTCCGTTATTGCTCGGACTTCTGCCTGGAAGCTTGTGTTATGATTTGGTAAACGGTGGTATATTTCTGTTGCTGGGTCTTCAATATAGAACCCCAGACCCACTTTATGCCGCAATTTAGAGCCATCCGTGTAACAAGGGATTCCTACTGGTATTTGCTCTAGTTTTCCGCTTCACCAAGACATTCTATCTGGGATCAGAGTTTCAAAGTTTCCGACATATTCTGTGTCTGATATGCGATCAGGCACGTCCGATGATTGTGTATAACCTTCCAATGTGTCCAGTATACATTGATGACGTATCCTATAACCGCCTTTGGCCAGTTCGCCAAAAGTAAAGAGACGTTCGGCTGTAAGCGACGCCTTATATCTTGTTGTCTTAAGATTTGAAAATATTCTCATATTAAGCGATCTTCAATTTTTCCTTATACTCGATTAAGCTACCGGAGTTTATAAAATCAACACGATCCTACTCCGTCAATTCCTCTAATTACTTGCATATTAACAAGCAACGCTACAGCTAATGGATCATCCGGTAATGATCATCGCTGTGATCAAGGCTTAATGGCATTAAATCTTTCTCTACTCAATTAACCATTCAAATTGGCCAATTAATCCATCTTAAGACTACTTTATTCTGTGTAGCTATTTCTGAATTTGTTTCTTGAGAATCCTTGCAATAAATTACAGGAATCAATACAAGATATTTTAGATGATCCTGTAGGCAGATTACATATAATCAATGCAATCCTTCTCCTTCAATACCTCATGTTACAGGCATCTTTACACATAGCGCTGCAGCTAATGGATCAACCGCTTTAAGAATTTGAATGTCTTACTCGATTACATCTCGAGAATACTTTCTAGATTATTCGTAAAGTAAGAAATTTCTGGAATATTTGAGGTGATCTTAAAAGGCGATCAACAGAATTGAATGTGGATTGTACTATTTCTATATGTGTCTATATCTCAGCGGATATATAGATTTATTTCTCGAAGATTGTGGACAGGTGGATTGTACTATTTCTCTCTCGAACAGCATAGCGTTCGAATAATGCGATCGGCTGTTGCGATGAAAATTTCGGGACTATGAACTGGTGATGATCAAATGTATCCTCGGCCTTTCCTTGGAATGGAGTCGAAGCAGAGCATCATATATTCAGGCTCTACGGGTGGCCAGTTTTCCGCAGGACTTGTCCTGGCTGGTCTGTTGGTTGAGGTTCCTTCGGGATCCTTGTAGTGGCTGTGGTTTATATCCAAAATTCGCGGGGCGATGTGACAGAGCAATTTATGCTGGATTCCTGAACCCGTTGAGTATCTCTTACTCTTCGCGTAGTAGGGCGCTAGGATAGGTTGTGGAATTCTCATTCCCCAGTCATTCCGTAGATCGTTCTTTATGTTCTGAGAATGGAACAGATGTAGTTGGTGAACGATCGGTAAAGACTACTCTGCTCGACAGTAGACTAGTACTGATTTAGTAGACCTTTTACTTCAGGGAAGTTCTCGGTGCTGTTGCCATCTCAACAGGATGCATATTGTTTCATGCTATGCGACTTATGGTTGAGACCTGCCACTCAACTTGTCGGGGCAATTATTGGGTATGAATTGACTTCCTACATCCTTTGTCACATTATCTAATTTATTGACTGAGTATTTCGGTCTATTTCTAGCCGGATCAACAGAGCCAGGTTAAGGCATGCACTGGAATGGGTCATTAGTTGATGGAGATTACATTTTAAATAATGCATGCAATTTCATGACATCTAAAGGGTGATCACTTTCCAGTATACCGGAAGATTGATTTCATCTGATGTTGGAGATGTCACTCCTTCTATTGACTATAGACCAGTGCTTGCCTTTTCCTTATCGGGGTTTGCATTGGGATTGATTCCTGTCATTCAGCAACGGGGCTATTATGGCAAGAGATTAGAGAGCTCGAGTACTTCAGCATAGTGCTTGTACATGGACCGGCACAGCCATGTACAAATATTGCCACCCTGAGTTCTTCATAGAAGGATTCAGGGACGCGTGGTAGACCGTTCTCAAGTCTACCCAGTGTATGAAAAAGACCACCGTGAAATAAGGCCGTCAAGGCCGGTGTTCACGTTAAGCACTTAGACATTCTTGTCTGTATGTGTCCATTGAAACTTTGTGAGCACCCTACAGCTAGCAATTTTCATTGTAATTTCATGAAATTTGGTTTTTTAACTTTTAACTTTTTTAGTAAAATCTTATGAATTCTTAAATCAAGTACGAAATGAACTCAAATCAATACCACTTTGTTATCAATTTGATTTTTAGTAAAACCGTACTTAACGTAGATCTGAAATCGCTGTGGTTTGTTTAGAGTGGGGATTACTAAATTTTTTTCTTGAGTGTAACATTACAGCCATTTCCTTCTTTCTTTTCTTATTTAAAAACAAATAATAATAATAAAATTTTTAAATTCTTTTCATGCTT